GAATTCAAGACAGCAAGGAGTCGCCGATTGAGAAAGGTGGGGTAGACATATTGTGGGCGGGGCCAGCCCGGGAAGGGCGGAGCTAGACGAAAATTCTCTAAAACTGTCCCAGAGCACTTCAAAGACCGGAAAAAACGTGGATTAAGGTCAGCAGAGGGTCGCCGGTGAGGACTGTGGGGCAAAAACATTGTGGGCGGAGCCAGACAAAAAGGTCTGTAAAACGGTTCCAGAGCACTCCGAAGACCGGAAAAAGTGGATTAAGGTCAGCAGAGGGTCGCCGGTGAGGATTGGTTTAGATATATAGTAGGATGGTTGTTGAGAAAAAATGTACAAAAATTGAGCGGTTGCCCGAAAAAATAATATGAATAGAAGGTGAAAACGTAGGTCCGTTCTTCCATTCCATTCGGGGACTGCATCGCTTAAGCGCATACTACGAAGAACGAATCACCACTCGGTGATCAGGTGGAAAAATATCCTTATGAGCGACTGGCTCGAATGTGACTTCAGAAATCTTGTTAACCTTGAAATACGGCTGGTTGTTGGTGCGATTCCTCCATAGCTCAATAAATATTGCTGCTGAGTAATCTGGATAGCCATGAGATGAGATGACAATGGTCTCAATATCCAATATGGAGAAAAACTCAAAAATTGTGCTGTCATGCTGAAAAGTAGGAAATTCATTGATATACAAAGGTACTTCACTCTCTGCATTAGGCGTTCATATTGTTGCCTGAGACTGAGTCAACTAGTCAACTATGCTGCATGCTTTGATTCCTATTTCACTTCACGTGACTAGCGATGATTCACGCCCATCTCGCACATCTTGAATAGTCCTCACCACACTTACCATCTCTTGAATTAATGGAGGAGCCTACTGTGGTGTTCTTCTGCGTGGAGCACCCTAATTCTTGTAGCACTCTCACATTCGCACGGATTGCTTACCGCTGAATAGACGTAGTACTTCAAGCCGTTGATCCATGTACAGTTTGAATGAGTCTTGTTCAAGCATTGTAGCTTAATATTCATGTGCATGTTGAGGTCGTTCATCATAGATCCACCTCGGATTTTCTGTATCTCATTTCCGATGTCGAGATTGTTCATCATTAGAGTTCCATCTGGAAAAAATTTGACAAATTTATACTTCCAGGAAAGGACCACAGGTCAGAGAGGCCACTCTCATTACACCGCGCACCATCTGATGCATCCCTGACTGTTTATCTTGGATTTACTTTACATTTGTGGAGAACGGTTCTCCGAAGGTATGGTTTTCTCTCTGTGGCTCAGAGGCAACAGGTCTTCAGTTTGATTCAGCAAAATTTTTTGTTCTTAGCGTAGCACGAACAGGGACAGAACGCTCACGTCATCATCATTACAATAGTGCTCTTCTATTCGTGTATTTAGAAGAGCACGCAAACAGTTTCTACCCGGTGTTTGCGCGCCTTGTCGCTCACAAGAAGGCTCGCGTGTGACGGCTCCCATGATGCATTTCACAAACGTTTTCAAGCGAGAGTTGCGTGTTATGACTGTTTGCGGGGGTCAAATGCCCCCGGGTTTCTAAAAATTTGGTTTCAGCCCGAATTCGAAAAGTTCTATTATGAGCGGAATGTTGCCAGTTGTCTTACCCGGATTAGATTACGGCCGGTGACTGGTATTCGAACTGAATTGATTGGAAGTAAAAATGTTGAAAAGATTTGTTCAATGGTGACTGACGGTGCCCAGACTGCTGCTTGGTTACCGGTATGATATTTATCGGTATTGATTGATGAAACGTCATATTCACGATCAGATGATGTCTTTCGATAGCTTATTGGTTTCTACTTGGACGGGACATATTTGGGGCGTCGTCAGTAGCCCCTGAGCTGCTTTTAACATTTCTGTCTTCTTGTGAAGGCTAGCACGACTTTCAAGTTCCAGTGTCATTTCAGTATTTCCATTTGATGAAACCTACTGAATTTGCCACTTTGATAGAGCTTCACTTGATCATTGACCATGGTTATTTGGGTAAAGAGGTCATCGCTGAACCAGGTGTTCACTTTTCTGAGAGTCTCGTTTGCATGTACTTGCTAAAAATAGTGTCACTAATGTTCACTCGGTTAAAATTCTGAGCGTAACCCACCTCAATGAATAACGCGTCTCTAACTACCCATATATTATCGATATCAATAGGTTCACCACAGAGTCTTGTCAAATTGTCAAGCAAACCCACAACCTGAAGAATCAATCTGATTACCATTAGCGGTGCTCCTGTGTACCTGAGGTTATCAGTATGATCCGTATGTGCAGCCATATCGCCTCTTAGGCTTCACCAACATCGGGTCTATTTTGGAATGCCTGCAGTTCTGGAGAGGTTTTAGCCATGTCCCACAAATAAGTCTGGCGGTCGCAAACAGCGTCAACCTTTCCAATCTGAGAATACGATCCATTCACGATACATCTACAACTGGAACGACTACATTGAACCTTACATAATCAGTGTCATCATCGACCGTGTGAATTGCAATCGGAACGAATCCTGTCGGCCAACCGTCATCATTTGGATAATCCAGGTCAGGAGTGGCCTGGTCTCCTTATCTGACATACATACGAGAATTTGCCATAGCTGATATATCGTTCGATTGTGTTTGTTGAAGCAAACATTAATATCTGCAAAGGTCAGACATAAAAGAAGGTGATAGTCTGATAATTTCCCCCCCTTTGCGACAATTTCTCCTGTATTTGATATGTTTGATCTTATAATTAATTGTAATAGCAGTATATAATAAAATCGTGTCTAATAGATACCATTTTCACTTGAATTCACCCCTTTTTCAAAAACAATTACTTTTTCAAACCAAATTCACCCGTTTTCAAACCAAATTCACCCGTTTTCAAACCAAATTCACCCTTTTTCAAACCAAATTCACCCACCTTCCAAATCGCATTCGCCCACCTTCCAAATCGAATTCGCCCACCTTCCAAATCTAATTCACCACTTTTATTAGGCTGCGCAAGTCATCTACCAAATCACGCCGGACACTACTGCGGGCCCGCCTGCACGCCCACTTGGCTTTAGCGGAATTCTGATATTTTTCAAAATTGCGCATTTTGGACTGGCTGCGTTGAGCCCGCCCCAGTATGAGAGCTCGCCACTATTTGGAAAATCTCCGCACTTTTCAAAAAATGAGAAAGTCGCAGTATAAGTTCTGGTTTCATGCTAGGGTCTCGTTCGTCACTCGGAACAAGAAAATCAGGCAAAGTTTGTTACGAGTGACGAACGAGACCCTAGCATGAAAGACAAGACCTTATACTGCCGACTTGCATCATTTTTGAAAAGTGGGCGGAGCTTCTCCAAAGTGGGCGGAGCCTCTCATACTGGGCGGGGCTTCACGCAGCAGTCCAAAAATGCGATAATTTTGAAAAAATATCAAAATTCCGCAAAAAGCAAGTGGGCGTGGCCGAGGGGGCGGGGCTGCTGTGCTCCGCTGGATTTGAGATGACTTGCGCAGCCTAATAAAAGTGGTGAATTAGATTTGGAAGGTGGGCGAATTCGATTTGGAAGGTGGGCGAATGCGATTTGGAAGGTGGGTGAATTTGGTTTGAAAAAGGGTGAATTTGGTTTGAAACGGTCCGGATGAAATGTGAATTGGGTTTGAAACGGGGTGAATTTGGGTTTGAAGAAAAGTGTGAATTGAGGCTTTGAAAGGGCGTGAATTAAAATGATAAATAGCTGGGTATTATCCGAATTGCGCTTCCATGTGAATCTTGTTCGTATGGATCATATGATGTCGTACGGCGTGCGTCATGGTTGGTGCGGGCGTGCGCTGTGGAGGGAGTGGGTGGTAAGCACAGCACGGCCGCCGTTTCATATTCGCGCTGGTGGCAGCAGCAGGCGGGTAAGCACAAATGGTGGATTTTTCGCGCATCGTAAACCCACAACCATCACCACATAAAGTGTGCACGTGGTAGCAAGGAGTTGCAGAATCACTCCTCACCCGTCGGATGGATAGGATGCCGACTGTTTCCGTTATTTCTGTGTTCAAAGTGTGCAACTTAGAGATTGAGGAGAGTGACAGAATGAGGAGAACAGAACTTGATAAGTGTGACAGCGAAGCGTCTGTTTTACGGCATCAGAAGCTTTCATCTGCCAAAATCATGAATGTTTACCTCAGTGTGTTGAGTAAATTCCCTTCACTGCGATATTTATCTATTTTATGTACGCTGTCACTGGAAGCTGTCAAGATGTTCGAAGTGCCGGTAATGGGTGGAAGCTAAGTCTGCTGAATGTGGCGTTCGAATACTTCGTAGGACTAAGCGTCGTAGTCTAGCTTGCTGCTCATTTTTAGGGTAGGCTGTGCAATGTAGGGCCGAGCTGTACTATGGAGAAGATTGGCGTTTTCGCGTTGACCAGTAGATCATGAGATAAAGTTTACACTGCATTTCGTCAGCCCCTTGGCAGCTTTTCAGTTGTGAAGGTCTGCTCGAATCTACGAACTGATGAATCAGATCAGCTGCAGATCCCTATAATTTTTTCCGGCTACTTCGGCTCGGTGAAAGAAAGAAAAGTTAAAATGTTAAGAAACTTAATTCTCATCCAACCACTGACGAAATCGTCGCCGATTGCCACTCCTAATCCTCATATACTCGTCTCATCTTATATCATAATTTGGCACTATTTACCCTTTACTGCCCCAGTCATCCGAAATCAGGCCAGTTCCTGACCGACTTTTTTCTCCGTGGGCAGATTTTGCTCAAATGTTGTCTCCTGGGGTAGTTTGACCTCCAGAATACGAATATCACATTCGCTCAGCCCGAAACTTCCTGGCGCCCGCGCCACAGGCGCCAATGATTTGGGGTATTTTGGCGCCGGTGCCCGTGGTGCGGGCGCCAGGAGGTTTCGGGTTGAGCGGATGTGATATTCGTGTTCAGGGGGTCAAACTACCCCTGGGAGCAAGTTTTCAGCGAATTTGGTGATTTCGAGTATTTTGGCGCCGGCGCCCGTGGCGCGGGCGCCAGGAGGTTTCGGGTCAAGCGGATGCGATATTCGTGTTCAGCGGGTCGAACTACCCCTGGAGCCAAGTTTTCAGCAAATTCTGCCCACGGAGAAAAAAGTCGGTCAGGAACTGGCCTGATTTCGGATGGCTGGGGCAGTAAAGGGTAAATAGTGCCTATAATTCTATATAAAAACAACTCGTTTTATGCATGAAAATGGATGGAGGGGAATTCGGAACGACGATCCTTCCGGTCCTCAGTTCGAGCGGCACCTTCGACTTTCTCCCACGTGTGGGCATGAGCCGTCCCGCTTGGAACAGTGACTCTTGAGGCAATGTTCTGCATTGTAGAACGCGAGATTCATTCGAATAATTCTCTCTTGTTTATTGTCAGCTTGCGTCGGGCTCCCACCACCATCATCATCTTTAAGGCTCTCATTTGAGGTTTCGTTCAACGGGCTGGGGCCTGTCAGGGGTTGTGTTAGGAGCGGCTCCAATTGTCGAAGCGGGCAAACGGCAATATGAAAACGGGATTCCGGAAAACGGGCTAGCGCACCGCTAAAGCAATCCCCCTGACACGCTCCAGCGCCTACTGCGGAGCTGGAGTGTCCACAATAGACGTTGGAGCGTGTCAGCGGGATTGCCGATCTAACTACAGATATCACCTAAGCTTAGACCTTGTTGTTGCCAGTCGCGCTGCTACTCCACCTCATGC